TTTCCTAAGAACAAAAAAATGTGATGATGGATTTATCGAACTTTTAGAACCATCAGAACCAGAAGTTAGAGCGTTTCTAAATTTTGATAATGACCCAAGGAGAGCTACGAAACTAGCATTCTCGGTCCGAGACAGATTTGCAACTTTTTTTAATTCAGAACTATGAATTAAAATTTTTATATTTTACTAAATGTAATAAAATTCAATATACATACCATTTTCGCCATTTCTTCTCCTATTTTACTAAAAATCCTTTATCCTTTTTTCGAACATTCTTGTAATCTTCATGGGAAAGATCATATAAAATGGGATATTGTCGAACTAATTCAATCAATTTCTCCAGAATAAATTATTACCGCACTACGAATCCGGACAAAAATGCAGTCGATGGCGAACTAAAATTTCGGACGAATATTTACGCAGACAAATTGCTCTTACAACAGTAAAATTCGTGCGAGTCTGAACTAGTCAATTTAGCATAGTTGAAATAATTTGATGCGAATCGCATGCGGTGCGATTTTTCGCAACAGGTACGAATAATTCGCATCCATTATCGCGTTGGTTTTTCTTCTTCTGTTGCTTGTTGTTGGTGTTGGTTTGGCATCCTGTTTTAGGCTTTTGCCTCTTCAGGATGTGGTTTTTCTTTTTTCTGGTGTTGGCTGTGTTTTCTGTTGGTCCACTGGTGGTGCTGAGCCAGGACAATCAGTGGCGAAAGGCTTTAGGTCGATTCTTTTCAGAATTGTTTATCTAAAATATTAGTATATTAGTGTTATTAGAATTAGTAAATATAGAAATGAGATATTAATATATGTATGAATACATGCATTAATATATTATTATGTAATTAGTAAATATGTTAACTTGTGATACGCGACGCGAGGGGGCAGCTGCGGCTGTATCCTCACAATAGACAGGTATCATTTGCAGGTGGGATCGGGAAACCGCAGAAAACCGATCCCCCCTGTCTAGGCAAGCTCGAAGTGAACAATTTAGCTAGAAATGCGACGATAGTAGAGGGGAGTTGCCTCCTGAATGTCAATGTATTCATCAGGGAGTTCGTTACTGGCGTGTTCCAGTAAAATGGCAGGTAGATGTGGGATTTTAGCTTTAGGATGTCTGATGAATACATTGCCGCGGGATGAGCAGACAGTTTTTAGAGTGCGTCGGGCTCTGAGGTTTTGGCCCTGGATTGTGCATATAGTGTAACTTCTGCTCAGAGAGTGTAGTCTCTCATTTATGGGCTGGATATTAGATAGTTGATGAATGAGGGCGAAAGGGTAGTCGCATCGTTTACCATTTACTCTACGCAGAATCGTCCTTTATTCCAAAAGTCTTTAGTCCAAAATGTATATGGAGAAGGAGAAACAGGACCTTCAATCCTTAAATCGGAGATAGAAGATGCTATTGCAGCACTAAAAAACAATAAGTCAGCAGGTCCGTATAATGTACCCTGTGAAATATTAAAGATCTTATGTAAATCAGACAAACAGTTCCTTGATGATCTAGTTGTACTTTTTAACAACATATATAATAGCGGTAAAATCCCGGAGAACTGGCTACAATCAACATTTATTACAATCCCTAAGAAACCAAATGCCCAGATTTGTGATGACTACCGGCTTATAAACTTGATCAATCATGTCACTAAAGCGTTCACTAAGATCATTCATAGAAGAATATATGATAAATGTGAGTCAAATATTGATAGATTGCAGTTTGGTTTTCGGAAAGCACTTGGAACTAGAGAAGCAATTTTCGCTCTCCAGGTGCTTATACAGCGGTGTAGAGACGTTGATAAGGACGTATATTTGTGCTTTGTAGATTTTAGAAAAGCATTTGACAATGTCAATCATGAACAATTGATAGGTATTCTGCGAAAGACAGGTATTGACGACAAGGACATTCGAATTGTGGCAAACCTATACTAGGGTCAAACAGCAAGAGCAAAAATTGGCAACGAACTCACTGAAAGCGTGCAGATCAAAAGAGGTGTCCGTCAGGGGTGTATATTATCTCCACTCCTATTCAATATGTATTCCGAGGAAATATTTAACAAATGTATGGAAAGTGAAAATGAGGGCATAAAAATAAACGGCGAGTTAACGAACAATATAAGATATGCCGACAACACGGTGATCCTTGCCAGTACCATAGACGAATTACAACAAGTAATTTAAATACTTTATTCAGTTAGTGAGGAATACGGCTTGAGCCTCAACTTCAAGAAGACAAAGTGGATGCTGATAAGCAAAAAGCAACAACCTGCTCGACAATTACGGATAAGTAACATACTAATTGATCATGTAGAATCTTATGTGTACCTTGGTACCAACGTAAATGCAAAATGGGAACAGACCATAGAAATTAAGGCGAGAATAGAACGAGCTAGAGCAGCATTTAGCAATATGAAAAAGCTCCTCATAAGCAGGGATTTGTCTCTTCCCCTAAAACTACGTCTAGTTAAATGCTACATTTTTCCGATCTTGCTGTATGGCGTGGAGGCCTGGACGCTGACAGAGACGCTAACGAGGAAACTAGAAGCATTCGAAATGTGGGTGTATCGACGCATTCTTCGTATATCCTGGACCGAACATGTCACCAACATATAGGTACTCCAAAGAATCGGAAAGGAGAAAGAGATCGTGAATACAATTAAACAAAGAAAGCTTGAATATCTAGGCCACATATTGAGACGCGATAAGTACCGTCTGCTACAATTAGTGTTGTAAGATAGTTTCTTTCGTTGAAGGAGGCCGCACGTACGCTGTGTTTTGGGTGTCTGAAAAGAGTCATTTGAGTTTTGTTCGGATTCAGCGACACTCTCCATCTCCTGCACCAGTTTTCGACTAGTCTACGGTGAGTTTGAGCGTACCGAAGAACAGAATCAACGTCTCTCGCTGTATAGTTACTAAAGCGGTGTCATCCGCGTAAAGCAAGGTAGAGGTATTGGTATATATGGGATTAGGAAAGTCGCTGTTGTATATTGTGTATAAAATAGGAGCCAGTACAGAGCCCTGTGGTACTCATGCTGTAGGAGTAAAAGAGTCTGAGAAATAACCTCGCTCCTTAACCTTAACACGACGTTCAGAGACGTAAGATTGGATTATTCTGACGAATGGAAGTGGTAGACCGATGTTCAGTAGTTTCTTGACCAGCCCCATATGCCAGACTTGGTCAAAGGCTTTTTGAACATCGAGAAAAATACCAAGTGATAGTTTGTTGTCGTTCAGACTTTGAGTTATATGTGTGACGATTTCTGTCAATGCCGTATTTGTAGAGAACCCTTCTCTAAAGCCGAATTGAAAAGAGGGAATGATGTTGTGTTCGTTGGTAAAGTCAATGAGTCTTTCTTTAAGGATTCTCTCAAAGACTTTAGCTAAGACATTTGTGAGTGAAATCGGCCGCTAAGAGTTAGGATCTGTGCGGGGTTTGCCCTTATTTAAGAGCATAATTGTATTTGCTACTTTCCACTGTGATGGGAAGTAGAAGAGTTTGAGAGTGGCATTGACAATATTTGTTAAATAGAGATAGACACTCGGAGGAAATTGTTTCACGCAGCTCCTGGCAATATTGTCAGGACCCGGCGCATTCGATTTGCCAATTTGCCAAAAATTTTTAAAAGTTTGTTGATCAACAGGTGCCATGATGGGGTGATCATGCGGCTCCTGAGGATCGAAAGGGGCACCGAGTTGTCTGGTTACGTCTCTCTCAGTCGCATGACGGAAGGCGGGGTCAAATCTAGGATTGTTGGGTGATATTAACGTGTTTTGTAGGTGGTTTTTAAGGGCGTCGGCCTTTTGTTGGTGAGTGTTTAAAATATGATTGTTCACCACAAGGTGAGAAGGATTGTTAGTTTTTTGTTTGGATAGGCATTTGAATTTGTGCCAGAACTTACCACCGTCACGATAATCAAGACTAGAGGTGGCCGCAATCCATTGTCTGGCCTGCAGATTGTTCACCTGAAGTTTAATCACCGCGGAGAGGCGGTTATATTCTGTTTTGACGAGAGGATTTCGAGTACGTTGAAACTGACGTAGGAGTCGTCTCTTATGTTTGATATTATTGATTATATATTGAGGTAGAGGTGGCTTTTTAGGGTTCATGACCTTATTAGGGACTGATATATCAATTGCTTGATTTATCAGATTAGTGACAGCCGTGATACCTTGATCGATATCATTTGTGTGTATTAAGTTGCCTAACTCTGGAATATTAGTTGATAAATAGGCTCTGTAGCGGTCCCAATTAGCGTCTTTATAGTCTCTTATTACTCTGGGTGGTGCAGGAGGGGAGGTGTAAATATCTTTTCCTTAACCAGCAAAGGTAAATGATCCGACGTGATGGAATCGCCCAGAAAGCATTCGTCGTCAAGTAGATCAATCACATTGTACGTAGATACAATATGATCGACTATCGACAAGCCCTGGTAACTCACAAAAGTCGGCTCACGGTTCCGTATAGGTACGATGGATAGGGAGGTTAATGAGCAGATCCGAAAAGTCATTGCCTACACGGTTTGTAGCCGTGTCGCCAAATTGTATGTGCTTGGCGTTAAAGTCACCAAGTATGATTGCCTTATTCAGGCTGGAGACTGGAGACATCGAATAATTCACATTGGTTTGGGGGAACCTTTATTGTTTTAACAGGATGGTCCGCTCTGGTTTTGGACGCCTCAAATAAAAATAAAGTACTCCCATCTGTTGGTTTTCCTGTGAAGTATTGCCTTATGCGCTTTGTCTGTAGAAAATTGTACCTGTAGAAGGAATCTTCAATACGTAACTGAATTTTTGGTGAAAAATGACTTACATCACAAACCATACATACAGTATGTATGGTTTGTGACTTACATTACACCTGCATTACACTCATTGGTTTCGCCTTCGATATGTAGATATAAAAGAAATAAGAAAAAAATAATTTAATCTTTGGAATTTCTTGTGTTCCTACAGCGACATCTAATGGATAGTAGTGAAACGTTTGTGATATTCTCTGATATTAAGACATAATAACAAAATACTGAAATTTGTCAATAATAAATTGTCAATAAAAATAATATAAAATTCAATTAAAACTACAACACCTCAATATTTGCAATTTCCATCAGTATATGGAGATTCCTAACCACCAATTTTCAACACAAAATTGATAAAACATAAGGCATTGACAAAATGACAAAAGGGCCAAACCGTCAAATTTTAAAATTATAACCTCAATATATAGTCATTTTTAAATATTTACAAAACACATCTGGATCATCAGAAAAATAAAAATGAAAAGATCTCCAAGGGTAAGTATATTTTTATTTCTTATTTATATGGGAGAATGCAAGAGTCTTTTGTAAATTGAGTACAGTTGCTCAATTTTCGGCAAATAAATTTGTTCATATTTCTTCTGAACCTAAGTATTTAAATATATTAATAATTGTTTCACCAATTTTTTAGTAGCGTTGACTAGCTAGACGTTTTACCAATATTTTTAATTGATTTAGTACATTCAATGGTGTTTTCAATTTGTTTATCTTCAGTCTTTAGGGCTTTTGTAGATATAAATGATTCCATAAATTCTATGAGCTGTTTAACTTAAATTAGTTCAGTTTGTAAATATCAAATAAAATGGCACACATTTTTCTTTGGGGGAGCTTAGGCTTTTAGTACTATTATCGCCAGTGTGGCTGTTTATTAACAAGAATCATATTGTATCGTAAACTAAATGAAAATTAGGTCTATTAATTTACATATTGCATCTATAATACACTTGTGGTCAGTTAGCCTTTCTTTATAACAAATCACATTGTACAACACTTCATAATTCTGGCTGTACAACCTTGCGTGGGTCCTAGCCTCCTCAAGAATGTCTCTCCAGTCCTCTCTATCCATCACCTTCCAATATTTGGTTCCTGGTATATTATATAAAGTTCAAAGTTGTATCATCTTCTTTACGCTCCATTGTCATTCACTGCTCCATAGTACTTAGTACTTTTCTTTCAAAACATTCTAACATGTTTTCATTACTTTTTAATAGATTCCATGTCTCTGAACCATATATTAGGACTGGTTGTATTATTATTTTGTAGAGTTCTATTTTTGTATTTCTTAATATAATTGTGGGTTTAAGACAAGATTTAGCCCAAAATAGCATTAGTTGGCTGTGTAAATTCTGTTTCGGCAGTTGGCAGTTTATATCTGCGGTAGTATTATTTTTAGTGTTAAGGAGCATTAAATACATAAGTTGCATATACCATATGTTAAGGCATATAAAATAAAATAACAGTCTCATCCAGATGATAAGTGATAATATTTTTTTTATTTTAAGTTACAATTACTTTTATTTTAAGTTAAAATTAATATTGGCAATAAGCTATAATATATTAGGGTATTTATGTTTGGTTGTATAGTAAATGCCAGCCATTTTCTAAAAATGACTAAATTTACTGAACAATTTGGACTGAGTTCAGCAAATAGAGTATAGATTTTTATTCTTGCAAAATTACATCACAAATCATTGTTATTTTCATTATGACAATCTAGAATATCTATTTTCTCAATTGTCTGAAAAAAAATGTCCTATATTAAAGTTGGCCCAAATTTAGCTTCTTTAAAATACATAGCTACTTTGCTTATAACAATTAAGAAACCTAATCAGTGTCATTTAAAAGTTAAATTGTTGATTGTTTTTGTGTGATGTTTGATTACTTTTTAACTTGAATACCATGTGAAAACTAAATTCAAAGTAATCATTCAGAAAATGATGTTTATAGGATTTTACATTAATTGTAAGAAATTTTATGTAATACACACATTTTAATAAAACTAATTTTCCTATGCCAAAATTGATGCTAACTTAGTTTTTGTAAAACTTGCAGTTCTTTTGCTTACAACAATTAAGAAACCTAAGTGGTGCCATTTGAAAGATAAACTGTTGATGTTTTTGTGTATGAAGTTTGAAAAGATTACTTTTAACTGAATACCAGGTGAACTTTAAATAGAAAGCCTGAATTCATTCATAAATTATAAGATAGCTAATGTTTAATTTTTATATAAATGGTTAATTTTTTCTGAGGTGCAAACATTTTTTAATGTGTAATTCTTAATTTCTTAGGCTAATACAAGTTAAAGTACTTGAAAATTCATAGAGAATAGAGAAAATTCCTGGATGGGTTATAATCCTTTAAAAAGGCTTATTTTTCTGATTTATAACTCTCGTAATTTTTTTTATTGTTAAAAGGATGAAGATAATTTAATTTACATTAACTACTGGCTTTTAACAAATTAGATTTCCTTTAGGACAGAAATATTTTTCAGACATTCAGAATATGTATATATCCTTTTTGTTTACTGTTACTCACTCATTCTTGTGTTTGGATCTGTCGGAATGGTGTGTTAGCTCTCTTATTGTTTGCCCTTTATATACTGCATATACTTAGATTGTAAAGGCTATCTAATCTCTCGACACATAGACCTAACACGATCTTTTATGCATATTCAGCCCTTAGTGATACAAGTAAAATAATTAAACAATTATTTACAACATTATATAATATTTTATGTTTATTTTCTTTCTTTCTTTTACTATTGTTTAATATTACTTAATTTTATATTTAGTCTCATATTTTCATATTTATTATCAATATGTATTGTGTGTTATAGTCAGATATTTCCCCAACATAATTATAAATATATTTTATCTGAATAATTGATATACTTTTAGCAGAAACTGTTCTTAATAAAAGTTTTTATGTAGGTTTTGATATATTCTTGACATTTTTAGGTAAATACTAGTGTGGATGCTAACATTAGTAGTGTTATGATTTCCGATGATGAAGATTTAACTGTGGTAATGGAACATTCTCCACCAGTAAGTTTATGTTGTTCATCTTATTTTACTATTTTAGATATGATTTATTTATTTTTTGATGTTTCAACATAACACATATTAGGTAATTTTTTTTTCACTTTTAGAGACAGGTCGGGAAATCATCTTTTATATTGGGAAAAAAAGGTTAAATTGTATTGAATATCAAATTGCATTCTAAAGATTTGTACTTATTTGAGTTTTATTCGTATCCTTTTGTATTTGCATCAATTTATTTAAAATAATCTTAATATGTAAATATAACTATTTTTTTTAACCTTCCTTGAATACATCTGCTGTTATACTTACTGTGTTATTTTGGACTCTTGTTATTATTCAGCTGCTTTAATTTTTTCCTCCATCTCCTGATCTGAGAGTTCAGTTATTTTGGCCTCATTATTGCTTTGCTCCGGTCTCCTCTCTAGTTTGACCTCTCTAGTTTTCTCGGTAAGTTACCTATTAATGATGTTGGAACCTTTGGTGTATTAGTAAGGGTACACCTTCTTTGGTCCTGTTTTTACTAAAGAAAATAAAAGCCCAAATTAAAAAATCTAGAGGATTTTTGGAAGCTGGTGAATTTTCTAAGTACTAGAGGAAGCTGGTGAATCATCATGCATGAACCATAAGTTTGTCTCAGCTCTAGAGAAAAATCTTCAAAAAGAATAATTAACTCATCCTGTAGGACAGAACGAAGGATTCATCTGTTGGTCATTGTGGGAGAAAAGATGGACCTATTAAGTGATCACTAATTATTTCAAGCCATACATTTTCTGAAAACTGATGCTAAAAATTAACTTAGAAGATTCCATGTGGATTTGTCTCAGACCATAAGTGATTATTATGGAAATTTTGTTTACAATGCTTCTAAAAGTAGCTTCATCAGTAAAAAAGTCATTTAAAAGTAAAGGTTAAAAGGAATTTAAGCGATTTGATGAAGAATTCATTGAGCAAAAATAGGAGCAAAAAGAGAATTGTAAATAAAGTGAAGTTGCTTACATTTAATATATGTTAGAAATTATGCTAAAAAGTTATAGCTAACGCCATGGTATTCAAAATCCTATTCTGGGGTGAGGTGGAATATTCTTCTATGTCATTTATACCTTGTTGTGTGTTTTTCCTGTTGTCGTGACTCTTTTCCATTTCTTCCTGTCCTTGCACTGAACTTTCTAGTCTTTAACATTCATTGTTCTTACTTTTTCTTCTACTTCATCTAGCCATCATCTTCTAGGCTTTCCTCTACATCTGGGTAATAGTGATTATCCTTCTCAGCATATCTGAGTGTTGGCATCTCTGTATTTGTTATATCCATTCCAAGTGAAGAGATTTCCTGTATATCTAACAATTAAGCATTTGTATAATTTTTTATTCTGTTCTATAAAAGAAAAATTAATTAATTACTAATAGTAATATTATAGCAAATTAAAAGCTTAATAATGAAAAAACATTAATTTGACAACTCGCCATGTGCGCCAATGCGCGCCAGTGATGAATATAAAATTGCTTATTTGATGTAAAAAATGCTTTTAAAACCCACGAAATTTTGTTTGAATATCTCAACCGCTTTCACAGCAATGATGCAGAATCACCCTAACAGTTCACTTTGCACTTATTTACTAACACCCTGCATATTATTAAAATATATATTATTCAAGGGTCTAAAAATTAACTAACTCAGAAAAAATTGATTTCTGGGTGTTGGTGTAATAAGAACTTTTGATCAGTACAACCAAAGATACTTCTCTGCAAAGTTTAAGCCAATTTAACTGAAACCACTTTTATATCAAAAAAATTAAATTCACTCAATTCTTCTTCCTTAAGTTCAATTTTTTTTGAAGTTACACTTTTATATGCACGGTCGGCGTTGGAAATTTGCATGGGAGTGAATCTGTGAAACCATTACATATGTAAGATAATGAGCAACGTGGAATAATTCGTCTACAGTCATGTTTGTCCAGTCTCGAATATTTCGCAGCCATGACTTCCTTTTTCTACCTATTCCCTTTTTGCCATCGACTCTACCCTGCATGATGACCTGCAGAAGACTATATTTATTATTTCTTAGTATGTGTCCAAGGTATGCAGTCTTGCGTACTTTTATCGTTCTCAACAATTTTTTGACTCGACCCATTCTTCTCAGCACTTCCTCATTGGTGACCCTGGCAGTCCATGGGATTCTCAACATTCTCCGGTATATCCAAAGTTCAAAGGCTTCAATCTTTTTAACTATTTGCGCTTTTAGTGTCCATGTTTCTACCCCGTACAATAATTGCGACCAGACGTAACATTCAACAAACCTCAGTCTCAGCGCAATATTCAGATTTTTGTCACAGAACAATTGTTTGAATTTTAAGAATGCTGCCCTTGCCATTTCTGGATAATGATAAAGAGAGAGACAGAAGATATATTTTCTCTCTCTTCCTCGCTCGAGAATAAAAATGTTCCTTTTGTATATATATATATATATATATATATATATATATATATATATATATATAATATTGTATATATAATATAATATGTATTAATATTATTATTTATGTGATATGTTTTGTATTATTTATTAAACGTTTATAATTATTTTACGCTTTTGTATTTCAAAATAATCACTGTTTGACCGAGAACTGTCAGTTTTGAAATCCGTTAGTGTCATTTCTAATTGGCAAATCCTTTACGTGTTTGGTTCATACGCTGGTGTTTGTGAGTTCGAATCCCAATTATGAATTTCCTTTTTTAGTTTTGAAATATTTAAAAACCTCACGTTAATCTTATTAAATATATGTAATATAGCAAAAATGCTGAATTTTAAAATAAAATGAAAATTTACAACATAATCCGAGTTGTTGGTTTTTTATTTTTATCTTCGTAAAGTAAGTTATGTATATTGGCAGTTATACATACTTATTGCATACTTATGAATATTACATTTTAATTTATATTATATTATTATATTGAATTATGTTGCAATGTATTTATTGTATTGTAATTTTTATATTAATAACAAAATAAAAAATGAATTTTACTGCAGAGTATGTGTAAAAAAATTTTTTGCATTCAACTCCTTTTATACATATATGAAAATAAAAATATGTATTTTTATTAAAATATTGATACAATCCTTCATTTACTACACTCCTATTACAGGTCAAATGTTTATATACAGCAAACGATGCACCATATACCTATATAACGAATTCTTTTTCGCTTTCTGCTCTCTCTTACCTATAGCATTACATATGTAATGATTGTGCAGATTGACTCCCATATAAATTTTTAACGGCGAACGCGTGTATAGAAGTATAACTTCTACCGGCAGTCCCACTGGACTGCCACATCTGTTTTTTAACGTTCTATTTGACTTTTTTATGTGTTCTTTAAGTTTTGTAGTAGCAAATATTCCGTCACAATAGTACGTCCAAAAACTTTTTTAAATATGTTCTTTCCTTATTCTCCTAAATTCTACTATGCAGATATTTACTGGTACAATAAATAGTAATCGTACCATATGCTAATAACTATAACTATAGTCTATTTTAAAAACCTTAGGTCTATCTATTTTTTTAATATATAAGCTTTAATATTTTATAGTTATTGGATAAATGTGTCAAGTTGACAATTTTTGGTACTCATGTATTACAAATAAATATATAATAAAATCTTATATTTACAGAAAAGAATAACTAGAGAGCGTCGTGCTAAGTATGACAAAAAATTCTATACACTAGAGTTAACTTCAGATGAGGATGAAATTAGTGACAAAGAGGACAAGGATGAAACATTTGTCTTAGTAGATAGTGTGGTAAGTTTTTTTGCGTTTTGTTAAATCTTGTAGAAAGACAGAAGCACCACTACCGCGAATTCACGACTTTTCCAAAAATCACAGGAAAATGTTTCTTTAAGAATGGCTGATATTATGTCTGATTGGTTTTCGGGAATCTTCTTCTTGGACTCCTCATGCGTCCTTATGCGTAAGATTAAATCTTTTATCAAAAGCTGCTATCGCTCTGTCGAACTAAATGGTCAAATGTACACATTTCGCATTCCACAGAGGACAGAAAACGATATTATTAAATCGTTTTCGTTCATGGCCACCAAAGCAGGTGGTACCTCTATACGCTAACCACTGTAGTGATCAAATTTAAGGAGACATTCGTTGGAGTTTCCGAGTTTGAATTTGTATCGGCACGAGTATCTGATGAAGTATTGAAATGAGTCATAACACTCTATTGATACCGATTCGAGCACGGGAAGTTTAACGAATTTGTCCTCCTAGGCCATATCTTTGGCCATTTAATATATATATATATATAGTAAACTCTTAAATATTGGGGAAATCTGCAAAAAAAAAACTCTAATGTGTATCAATTATTTCACCTAACGTTTTCGCCAAAGAGAATTTGGTTTCTTCAGGGCTGAAAGAGAATAAATTATAATTAGCTACCATATATTATCTAATAAAAAACATTTACCTTACCGTGAAATTTTAGAAATGTCGAGTTATGATGTTAAAAAACTTTAGCTAGTAACAACATAGTGGTGTTTTTTTGTTACTATGTGCAAAAAAGTTTATTTGTGAACGTTGGAAATGTATGGTAGCTTTGAACTTAAAACGCAAAGGCTTGCCCAAAGACAATCGAAAAATCCAATGTAACTACATTTAAAGGAAGTAATTCTTTGAATTGTCGGCAATAACTAAATTTTTAATTGTTGTAAAGTTTGAATGTGAGCTTCTGTTTTCATAGAACGCAAGCGCCGAAACAATTACAAGTAGTTCTTTTGATATGAATGTCGTTAAGGTTCATTGGTAAAACCGATGAAGTTAGATCCCAGTCTGGGGAGATATTAGTTTAGAATTTCTAATTGAAATTCTTTTTTTAATTAGTATATTGTTCATGTATTATTGTAATAATATCTTATTGAGATGTATCTAAGAAAAGCAAGCGAATGTTATCTTTTTTTGTTAATGAAAATTATTATTAAAGTAGGTTAGTTGTTAATAGATATATCAGTCAAGTTGGTTATCTGTGATGTTGTATTGTTCTTGGTATCTGATTTAAGTAAGAAGTGAATCAAATCAAATGAAATCAAATCAAATGAAAATCAAATGAAGAAGTAAATCAGATACCAAGAACAATACAACATCACAGACCACAGATAACCAGGGTGTGTCCAGGAAAGTGCTACACATCAAAGTTATGTTTTTTTAAATGGGACACCCTGTATTTTATTGCATTTTTGAATTCTAAGAACAAAATAAGTGTCACTTTGTTAAAGGTTTGTTATACTTAGAGTCTACCGTTTTTGATATATCCAAGTATTTTTAAAAATAAGGGATGTTTGAAACATGCCAATAACTCCTAAATTTCCTAATATTTAAAATTAATTTTTTTATGGAAGATTAAGAATTAATTGTACTCTAAAATCAAATACTATTCAAAAATATTTTACAGGGTGTTTGCGAATTAGATATTTATTGATGGCACATTTAAACATTAAAAACTGCTTTATTTTAAATGTGACACCCAGTATATTTTTTGAATTTTATGAAAGATATTTCAAATACCTTTCAAAAAATATAAATATTTCCTATACCCATATTCGACAGTTTTGGATATAAAACCAAAATTGTTATTTAAAACTAAATTTTCACAAATTTTCATAAAAAATAAATTATAATTAAAGAAAAACAAAAAATCAATCCACATAAATTTAATGGTGCTTAACAAAAAGTGTAGGCTGCTATCTTCGGACTATGCCATCATCTGGCTTAACAATAATAAAATTATATCTGGAGTAAGTTGATCCTTTAAGAATATTAGTAGGTTCATTAAAATCATCAAGTTTTAATGTATGGACTTTACAGAAACAAGTGTTCACTTACTTAGATGTATAATGTATTTTGTGCATAAAATAATTTAACAAAATATCAAAACTTTTTGAGTTTTGAAGAAGGAAGAAAGATTAGTAATATTAATACAAAGATGTTCTTAGTCTAATAAATGTTCAAAATGATGACCATCTGTTTGAATACACAGTGTAATTCTCCGTTGAAAAGAACTTTGTACTCTTCTTAACATATCCGGAGTAATTGCTTCAAAAGCATTCTTAATTATTTGCTTCATATCTTCTGCTGTGGTGGGTGGAGTGCTGAACACAAGATTTTTAATGTAACCCTATAGGAAAAAATCCAGTGGATTTAAACATGGTGATCTAGGTGGCCAGTGACATGGTCCTCCTCTTCCTATCAATTTATTGGGAAATTTAAGGTCTAAGTAATCTCTCACATTGCGCGCAAAATGAGCCGGAGCACCATCTAATAGTAGCCACATTTGTTGCCTAACATTCAATGGTACATTTTCGAGAAGCAACCAAACATCTGATCGAAGAAACCTCAAAAAATGATCGCCTTTTAAATGCCCATTAAAAAAATATGGGCCTATAACTTTATTCCCAATAATTCCTCCAAAAACATCAAGGCTCCATCTATTTTGGCGGTCAACAGTTCTAAATAGGTGCTGATTTTCAGTGTCGTAATAATGGAAGTTATGGCGATTTACTAGGCCATTGTTGTTGATTGTACACTCGTCTGTAAATAAAACAAAATCGAAAAAATCTATGTTTTGTCCTACCTCTTCTAGTGCCCATAAACTAAAATCTAGGCGTTGTTGAAAATCGGTTCCATATAAATGTTGATGGAATTCAATATGGTATGGGCGGAGTCGGTGTTTCTTGAGAATTCTCCTTACACTGGTTCTGGGTATGTCTATTTGATTTGAAATTTTTCTACCGCTAGTGTTAGCATCCTCTGCTATTGAAGCTAATACATTAAATTCGTTTTCTTCATTGTCAATGACAGTTTATTCGGAGTTTGTTTTGAATATGTAACACTACCTGTTGTCCGAAACCGATCTAAAATTCGTTCTAGAGTTCTCTTATCTGGTCGATCCCTATTTGGGTACTTCTGGGCATAAACCCTTGCCGCTAAAAAACAGTTTTCGTTACATTCACCTATGGTGAGAATCATATCCACCCGTTATTGAATGGAATATTGCTTCATTTTTTTTTATATCAAAATAAACTAAATAAAAATATGTAATATAAAATAGCACACTAGTGTGTAAACTGACAGTTAGTTGACTAATTATTTGTTATGAGGAGTACGTTTTGTATACAATTCTAAATGTCTAAAACTATGTAAGTATGTAATATAAAATAGTACAACAGTTTGTAAACTGACAGTTCATAGCTATCTTGGTTAAAGAAATTTACTTTTTTTTTATAAAGTATAGCTATCACAGAACTTTGATTTTATATCCAAAACTGTCGAATATGGGTATAGGGAATATTTATATTTTTTGAAAGGTATTTGAAATATCTTTCGTAAAATTAAAAAATATACTGCGTGTCACATTTAAAATAGAACAGTTTTTAATGTTTAAAGGTGCCAGTAATAAATATCTAATTCGCAAGCACCCTGTAAAATATTTTTGAATAGTAAGTATTTGATTTTCCATAAAAAAATTAATTTTAAATTTTAGGAAATTTAGGAGTTATTGGCATGTTTTAAACATCCCTTATTTTTAAAAACACTTGGATATATCAAAAACGGTGGACTCTAGGTATAACAAACCTTTAACAAAGTGACAAACCTTTATTTCTCTGTTTCTCCTGAAACATCAAGACGAAGCAGAACTAATCTGACTTGACAATGGCAAGTGTGACCTTGCCGAAACGTCGTCAAAACAATGTTTTTTCTAAAAACCAACATTACTTAACGCGGAGTCAAACCCGGAAAACAACTGAAATCATATATATATATATATATATATATATATATATATATATATATATATATATATATATATATATATATATATATATATATATATTACGAATAAAAGTTATATTTTATAAAAAGTTCTGCATGGTCTGAAACCTAAGATACAACTATCAAATCTCAAATTTTATCGATCATATACGAGGTATATAAAAAAAATATGAATTTCGCTCCACAGTTACATATACCTTTATATTTCACAATATTGAAAATTGGTATTGGTATTAACAAAACTTCTAATAGATCACATACATGTAGGTGGCGCTGGCATCAGGGTTTGGTATTAAAACATAATCTTATTATATTCTGCCATTTATTTGCATTGTTTGGTACTCGTTTCCTAGTTGTTATGAAATTTTATGAGTGATTTAAGTTTTAATAAGTTATTTAGGACATTTTAATTGTTTGGACACTTTTACTAAAACTTACAATTACAGTATGACTTACAATTGTTGTGTGCCACAATGCAGTTCAGTTTCCAATAAAACTGACAATGTCAAGTTTCATACATTTCCCTTGAATAAAGCTTTACAGAAACGATAGTTGATCGCTATCGTATTTAAAAAAAGTATCAGCAATAGGGTTGGTCGAATTTTTCAAATCGAACAAAACAAGTCTGGGTATGAATCGGAAGTTGCATTAGACTATTAGAAACAGTATAAAAATAATAAAAAATATATCACATATATGTTTTAGCTCTCTACCGGGACTTAAAATTTCCCATAAATGGAAATTTCCCCCCTGATTGTCGAATTAGTTTTACAAAATAAAACAAAGTTGTATTCATCTAAATTTTTGGTTCTAAAGAAAATTGATGCGCATTACGCTACTAATGAGCTGTTGTTACTAGTTGCACGCATGCGCGAGCGAGATTGCTAGACAGAACTTTCAGCTAATTTTCCAGTACAGTTTTGTCTGGACAGGTCGGCAGATCACTATTTTTTTGTATGATTTGTTGTCGG